TTAAGTTACTCACATATAAAAGGTTATGTGAGTCCTCCCTCATAGAGCCATTGTGAATATTCCGTGACAACGTCTGTGTAAATCATGTAGACAGTTCCAGCCCATAGTAGGTGCATAATACACTGTAACATAGATGGCAGTTAATTAAAATGAAGTTCATGGGACCCAGAGGAGGCAATGACAATGGGGACGTGGGTACTGGCTCCCTACTATAGATGGGACCAATGCAAAAGTCAATGTGAAAACAAAGTGAAACTTCCTAGGGTGGCTCTGGGAACCTTGGTAAAGGGGCTGGTTCTGGTCACAAGAGCTGGAGGGACTTTGGGGGCATTCTAATCCAGGTTCTTCATTTGCTCAATGAGGCACTGGGCCCAGAGAGGGGCAGGGACTTAGCCAAGGCCACATAGCAATTTCTAGACGGAGTCAGGAATAGAAGCCACATCCCCAACTTCCCAAATATAAGCTCTTGCCATAGCACTGTACGGACCAGAAGTTTTCTCTCTGGGGATTCCAATGAGCTGGCTAGGGCTTCTTGAACTTTAATGTGTAAATGTATCCCCTGGGGCCCTCGCTGCAGTGCTGACTGTGTTAGGGCTGGAGCAGCCTGGGCATCTGCATGTCTGACAAACTCCCAGGTGATGCTGTTGCCCTGTTGATCACAGGTAGATAAAGAGGAGCTAGGTACACGCTGTCCAGTGGACACAGACTGCGGGCCACATGTGTAATTTAAAATTTTCATGTCACCACACTAAAAAAGATGAAAAGAAACACGTGGCTGTCATTTCGGTAATATATTCCATTTAACCCAGATTTCCCAAAATATTCCCATTTCAACAAAGTGTCAGTATAAAAATTATCGAGAAGACATTTTACATGAAATCTGTTCAATTCAGTGTGCATTTCATACTCAGGGCTTTTCACAACCTGGACTTGCACATGGCTAGGGCTGTGGGGAGCCCTACACCAACTAGTCCCAGCTTCCTGTGAACCCTGCTTCCTAGGGAGAGATCAGGACAAGGCCGACCCATGCACACCTCCCTGCATTCCTCTCTGGATTACACTGGGCATGTCTGGGCTGCAGACAATTCTCTGGCTGGCACTGCGGTGTTGTACTGTTCAACTCACTGCTTGGAGGCTGTGGGTTTTGCCCTTGCTTGGGACAACAGGCTGAGAATACTTCCCACATGGCTCAGGCCCGGCCACTGTCTGTCTGGCTGGGTGTCTGGAAGAGTTTTGCGTGGGGTCAGCCATGGTTTTGAGAGACACAGACTGTGATTTCATGGCCAGGGGCCAGTGTGACATCTGTGGGTATTCTGTGACTTCAGGGGCAGCTGTTCTCCTGCCAAAGAGACATCAATGGATCCATCCGGCAGCTCTATGCCAAATCTCTGGAAGAAATCCCCACACCGGCCCAAGGCCTCACTGGGGGTGCCATAGGTCTTGTCTGAGCCAGAAAAAAAGCCACAAATGTCTCCCCTGATCGATGACTCTTGTATGTGATTCCCGGGGTACTTCTGATCAAATGTACTTCCTAGAAGCCCACGTCCAGCAAGCCCAGCTATTTGGCACAGAACCCAGTGTTTGCTTTTGCTTGCTTTTGTCTGAGAAAGCTCATGGTTTGATGCTACCTAATGCTAACCATATGAATATCTGGAAACATCTGAGTGTGCTGTGATCTATAGACAAAACAGCCACATCTGTGGGGATGCTCTGATTAGTGGTATTTTCTGGTAAAGCAAATCCGGCTCCTTGTTTTGCTTCCTGAACTAGGACTGAGTTTTTCCTACCTCAGTGGAGAGTATAATGAGCAAAATTGAATCTTCTCTAATGGCTTGGTAGTAATAGCTGCCTCTACACACATTTTTGACCAGAGGAGCAGTCCTATCCACCCAACCAACAAAGGTGTATTGAGCACCTGTCACGTGCTAGACGTTGTTCTGGGCTCTGGCTACGCAGCAGGAAAAAATAAGTGCTTATTTTTGTGGTGCTTACATTGAGTGTATGCATGTGTGCCAAGGTGAGGTGGAAGGACAGGGATGGACACTAGTCAAGCAAACAGCATGTAAATCATTCCAGATGGCAAGCTGTTTTGAGAGCAGTTGTGCACCTGAGGGCTACAGACTGAGGTCACTGGGCAGCATGGCTCTGAGACAGTGGGATCCTGCTGCAGCAGAACAGGTTTTGCTGCCTGCCCAGACTCCACAGGGTACCTGACCAAGACTAGCCCCACGTTCAGAAGCAAATCAAGGAGTTCACCTGATGCCCTTCCACCCCTGTATGTTCAGACTCATTTTCTCCCTCTCTCTCACTGCTGCTGCCTGGGCCCTCAGTTTCCTCCGTGTTTGAAGCCAACCTCTGTGCCTGATGCTGACTCCCCACGGGGCCCCCTCATGATGGGAGGGAAGGGGATGCAGTGTTTTGGATGAGATAGTGGATGGGTTGTCATGAGGTTGGAGTACTGATAGCCAAATGAAACATAAACAACAATTTCCTGTGCATTTTCAAGTCTGTCACACAGACACGCATACAATATTCATTTGTCCTGGGTTTGAAGCAGCAAACCTGTGAGCAGAAATACACTATGGCCCTTCAAAGAGAAGGTTCACAACAGGCTGCCTTCAGGAGCCACCAAAGTCATCTCTGGAAGAAAATACATCAAAGATGTATTTATAAAACATTGCCCTTGAGGGAAGTGGAAAACATTTTTCCTATTTATGATCAGTCCTTTTCCACTTGACAAACAGTGACTGCTCTCCCCACCCTCACCCCTGCCCTCTCTTCTGTTTTAGGTGGGTCCCAGATTCATATGTTTTCTGCTTAAATAACAAGTGTATCTGTCCTGGGGCCAGCCCAGCAAGCCAGAGGACCAGTGCCCGGGGGACATTTGAGACCAGCCATTTTGTAGGGAAGACAGGCCGGGGAGGAAGAATGCTGTGTTGGGAACTCACCAGAGCAGACCAAGATCTTCTTCAGAAAGATCTTTTTTGTAGCTGATGGGAATGTTAGGAGCCTAGACCATAACTTATCATTAGGAAATAACTGGGTTTTGGTATTTTGTTTTTTGGTTTTTTTTTAGTTGAAAGTAGTCATTATTGGCAGTTTCATCTGGTTCCCTCTAAAAATAAGCAGCTACCATTATGGATCACTGCCTGCTTGCAAAGCATTGAGCTGAGCACTTGACAAGAATTATGTCATTTCATCTTCACAGTAACCCAGCAGGGTGGTATCTAGGGTGAATCTCCCCACAAGTAGGTGCTAAGATGAGGATTTGTGGTTTAGTAAAGAAGTGGTCCCAGGAGAAACCATTGAGGAAGAGGGGGAATGGACAGGGACAGGGACAGCGATCCCAGCAGCCCCCTCCTGTGAGGAGTCCTGGAGCCTCATGCATGCCCCAGACTGTCCCACCCTGAGGCCAGCGAGCTGGGCTTCCATACACCTGTAGTCTGTCAGCCTCAGCTGCCCTGAGAGTGAACCTCAGACACATCCAGCTTTCCATGTGAGGGCCTGGGGACACACAGGTAGGACTCAGAGCATGGTGACAGGTGCTTCCCAGCAGGAACCGTGCTCATGGAAGCTGAGGGAGGGATCTGTGAGCAGAAACATCTTGGGTCTCCAGGAGTGTTAGCCTGGTCACCATTTTACATGACAAACAACTGAGGTGCAGAACAAAGAGAGGAGCTCAGCTCTGGTCACAGAGGTAGAGCTGGAACTCTGTTATCCTGAACTGGCCACTGTGTTGACCTCCCAGTTTCATTCCAATGTCCTTTGCCGCAGCTGGTGGTGCCTGGCTCCTCCTTTCCTTAGCATGAGCCTTGAGAGCCAACTTCATTCTTGCAGACCGAGAGGGTGGTGCTACTCCCACCTATGACCAGCATCCACAGCTTGTCAAAATCCTTTAGCACACATCAGGACTCCTTGTCACTTTAGCTATCACTTGCACTTCTCTAGGTTAGCAAAGTGGCCTTTCTGGGGCCTAGCTCTCTGGGATCTGCAGATGTGACCTGTTGTTCTCCACAGCAGCAAAGTCCTATGCAGTGCCACAGTCTAAAAAAAAAAAAAT